TTTTTTTTTTCTTATTCCAGTCGAGGATTTCGGATTCGCTTGGAATAATTTACGGAATGTATTTTTTTTTCTCGAATAAAATAGCCGACGAGACAACACTTATTTACAGTCATGTGTATTTACACTAATTACAAGCACCGTAACGCATAGTAATTCTCTTCGGGGAAAAAAAAGAAAGGAAAATTACACGTCATCCGCGTGACGACTTTCGATAGAACTCATTCGCAGTCTCGTATTCGTTTTATGAAAATGCTCAGTCAAGAAAGACAAGCTCAGCGATCGTAATGTCGGTATTGCATTACTTTGGCGTGGCGTGGCTTTTCGTCGAATTGGATTATATAGAGGAGACGAAGGGAAAGGGAGTTTCTCGTTCCGCACGCGAGATCCGTCCTTCCTCTCGTCGCGACACTTTTTTTTCCTGGGGGAGAGGGGAATAGATATAAAAATCTTGCGCTACAATTATGTATAAATCGATCTCTACGGCTTGCGTATCAATTGTATAATTGAGTCAGCTTTTTTTTAGCTTGTCTCCGTCGTCATTCACGCAGCTTCCTGCAAACATGCGCGCACATTTTCGATATATTTGACACATACAACACACACACATTTTTTGACACGCATACACGCACGCACGCGAGGAGACAGAAAGAGACAATTATATATATAAGGCACAGAATACACATTATTTATATTAGATTATATGTATTACAATTATATTATTTCGAAACGAAAAATGTGCTTTGAAATATTTATGTAGATTTATCTTTTTATAAAAGACAATTGCAGAGACGACAAGAAGTTGAATTGAATAAACATAAATATTGTGAAGTGCAATTTCGAGATCATATAATTGTAATATATATATGCATATACATACATACGAGCGATAAATATATACACACGCGCGGTTGCACAGCCCCGATAAATTAAGAGAGAAGGCGAGGAGGTAAAAGGAACTTATACGATGTAAGTCGAGCTCCATACTTTACAGAAAACGTTATCGGCGACGTGTAGACTGAACGCGTCACATTTACATAGTATATATATATTTTATATATATATACACATTACATATACATATATATTAATTTCCTGAGAATATTAATTAACTTTTCGATATAGCCCCCGGCTCTGAACAAGAGTGATATAAACGAAAATATGTTATGTACATACTCTTGAAGTAATACATTTGATCTACATATAAATTTGATTAACATTTTCACATATAAATTATACCGAATTATGAACCTTGGAAAAGTTAATTAATATCCTCAACGATAATCGTTATGCATATGAGAAATCATTTAATATTCGGTTTCAAGAATGCCTTTTACAGCGGACGAAGCGCGATTACAGGAATATTAATTACTTTGTGCCCTAATATTATCACAAAAAAATGAGTCAGCATCTTGCTCCGATTAGAATCATCTTAACTAATCATTCTCGACGTACGACATACTGACTCGACTATTCTCGTTCAAGTCTTAATGATTACGAAGATCATATGTACATTCGCTGGTCATATTACTCGGGGTGATAATAGAAAAGTATATATAGTTTATATTACGCTTATATTCCATATATGTATATATATATAATATTATATTATCTTGCTACAAGAAATCCAGTTGTATTTTATGCCAGCATAATCATCATGGATGTGTAATCATCGACCAAAATTTGATTTAAAAAAAAAAAAAACGAATGAGTCTCACGTTTTACATGGCAGCATTGTTAATCTTTTTTTACGATGTTGCACGGAATATCTCTAACAATTCTCAATTAATTGGGTAAAATCGATAGTCTTTTAATCCTCAGAAAA